TACTAATACAACCAAAGGTAGTACAAGTTGAGAGCCATGTTTAATCACTGCTCTGGTTCTGTCAGTGGCAAGACGGAGCTTTGTTACTGAATTTCTCCTCAAAAAGTGATCCACTTTCCCTATTCTTGATAGTATTGATTTCTTTATTTTAAAAGCTGCCTAAAATAAAGCAGTCTCCTGCTGAGCAGAGCATTTTGAGCTAGTCTGGCTCTAGTTTCTCAAACTAAAACCTTGCTTCTCCGATTAACTATTTGTATGTAGTAGAGAACATGCAATTGTCTTTCATTTTAGAGACTGTATACTTAGTATACTAGAATGAATAAACTTCCCAAATGGAAAAAAAAAAAAAATCCTTTCCATGCACTTGAAATGGATGAAATGACAAGCAATTATGTACAAATGAGGTACAGGGTCTTAGCCTGGTAAACACCTCTGAGACAGGGAGTCTGATCTCTTTTTATCCCAAGTACCATAAAATGTAATTCTGCTGTGAGTTTACTGAGTTCCATTTTAAATGTAGTGTAATTCCTCTACCCACTCCTCCACTTCCTCCTCCTGAAAGAATGTCATAAAGACTGATTTGATGAGTAGAAACCCTCTTGTAAGTCCCACTCTATGTTTAATCCTGGCCCATTTATACCTGTCTGCAAACACCCTGATATTTCTGTCTTCCCCTCTTAAGGATAACTTAAGGATATGCTTAAGGATAACTTTGTTTGGGGTTCTAGTGAAAATTTTTTCAAGTTTACTATTTGAAAATAAATTTCTTACAAGATAGAACCCAATTGCATCAATGCTTAATACAGGAGCCATCAGGCAATTTAGTACCAATGCACTTTCATTTAAGAAAGTTTAGAAGTACTTCCTCTGTCTACTGCTCTGCTGACCTGAAGAGCAGAGGTTACTCCCGGTTGCAGAGTGCTTTTATACTGCCTTACTTTTCTGCCTCACTGCGCTTCTGCGCTTTTGTTTTTGTTCTTTTTTCCTTGTTGACAAGTATTGTCAAAATATTTCTGATCAGATTTTTTTTCCCCCCCTTGATTCTCACATTGCTAATTCATGTTTTTGCAGCCATTTTGGACAAATATGTGTACACTTATTCTTTTTGATATTTCAACTCCACCTCTTATACCTTTTTTTAAGTATTTCTCACAATGGCTTTGTTTTTTGAACTGGAAGCAGATAAACAGTTGATTAAAAACTAAAGTGACATGGAACAGAAGGTTGTATTACCTGTATATCTTCAGGAACAATGAAGCATACATTCAAGGTTGCATATTATTCACCAACAGTGAGGGATACACTAATTCAGTCTGTGGCCCAGGGAACAAATCTAGTCTCTGTGTGAAAATGTGTGACCCCTTTTCTGAAAGCTCCAGGCCCACCAGAATGACTTTTGATGTTTACTGTAAGCCTTAGTTCTGGGTTCACCAGCTTCTTTCTGTGTGTCATTTTCTAGAAGCCCTTTCTTTGAGTAACTTACAGTATTGTTTTCCATTTTTAAAGACTAGCTGGAAAACATATCGTCAGCTCAAGCAGTGAAGGAACATATTTAATATTTAATATGTTATGTTCTTGAAGTTTGACACTGTGGTACCAGAGAATGAGAAATTGTTACGAAAAGCCATTCTTTGTGCCTACTTAAAACTGTCTAGGAAGCGAGTGAGTTAAACTACAGACCTGACTCTCTGTGATTCTAAATGCTAGATGTATAAGTGGTAAAATGTATATTGATTAGGTACCATCAGATCCTGCAGGCAGTTTGCCTTGCCCCTGCGCAGATGCTCTGCACTTTTAAGAACCATTGGAAAGTGCTGTGTAAGGAAGTGTGGAAACAAGAACTCTTCTTGACATCGTGTTTAGTGCACTGGCCTCAGACAGCTTTAAACTTTCACTGTCTGCCCAGAAATCCAGAAATTAGTCTGAATAAATAAGACTGGGATCATTCATTACAAGGATATATATGTAATTTTTTCCATCAAAAGAGATGCTTTAAAAACTAAATAGTGGAGTCTGAGCAAGATGAAGTGGAAATCCCAGATGTATTCAAATCTTGATCACGGTAAGCATATTCACTGACTGTATGTACAATTATAATTACCAAAAATTGCCTCTGAAATTATAGGATTAAAGGAGAAAAAGTTGAATGTGGAAATCTAGGATCATGGATGATTGTGTTACAATTATTAATGATAAAAGCAAATTTATATTTTTTAATTTGGTTTATTTTGTTTCTTTTGCTTGAACAGTACTTTAAGATTGTAGAATTGGCTGCATATACCCTCCTTCGAACTGTTCTAATAATCTAATAATGGCATGTATGGCTTTATCAGATTTGGAAAAGGAAAATGGGATGGGCTAGTATAGGAATTAAAGACAAACAAAGAGGATTAGATTTTGGACTGTAGCTTCAGTACAAAGAAATTAGTACATTGAAAAGATTCATCTCTTTTGAAGGGCATGAAAGTAGAGACAGGGTTAATCTTCTCCATTTTTAAAGTGTGGACTATCAACTTCAAGTCCAGAGCTTCAGACCACCTTTCTGTCATGAGGTTTTTAGTATTTTAAATTATGTTTATAACTTTGAAAGTAATCTGAAAATAGTTGCTCGTAAATGCCTTGTTTAAATGTTGAAAGTTGATTCATTTTCATTGTAGTGCAAGTCCCTCCAAGGCATTTTTGCAAGCCTAAATTCCTATTACATAATGAGTCTATTTCATTGTCTTTCTCTGTGTTGAATAGTGAATGAAAAAAGCTCCCCCCCCAAATGCAATACACACAAATACTGGTTTTTATATTCACAAAGCTCTCATGCTGGGTTGAGAGTCAGTTATGGACTTGTGTGATGTCTTCATTTATAACTGCTATAGGTTATACGCTGTAAATTATATCAGCAAGAACATAGGTGCTTAATATTTTATTACCTTCATAATGTATCCCATCTGTACAATAATTCTGAGCTATTTTTTAAAATACATCTCAATTCCCGTAGACTAATCATACTTTAAAATTCTGTTTCTAAATGATTGTATTATATCTTTCAAGATCTGGCATGTTGAAATGTCATGTCCAAGAAGAGTTTAACTGTTTGTCTTCATTATTCGTGCTATGTCAGTGTTATCTACAGTCTGTTGTCTTTTGTTTTATTGCCCTGTAATCCTACTGAAAGTTGACTGTGCTTAACTAGTTAATGAGTTAACATACTGCAGAGTATGTTCTTCCCTGTGTTCCCTGGACTGTGCAAGATAGTAGAGCGGGTAAGAAAAAATCTTCCTGGTTTGCCTCAATGACCTTTTTGAATCTTATTTTCCTATGTGTTTTTGAGATTTTTCAATGGTGTAGAAACATGACAAATAGCAAAATCCAGCACGTTTTCCTTTTCTCTGCACAGTATGTACAGGTATGACTGTCCCTCACCTTTTTACTCAAACAGTACTAGAAACGGAGCAGTAACTCAGAGGCACATATCCTCTAAAAAGCTGGACTTAGGCAAAGGGAAGAAAATAAGTTACTCAAAGAACTGGATGTTCAAATGCAGTAGCATTCTAATGGAAAGGACAGGCTTTTGAAGGAACATAATGTTCAGGGCTAGGTAAAGAACCTGACCTTATTTTTTATTAGGCTTTTTATCCATTTATTTTTTCCTTTTTCTAAGATCCATATATCTGTCTGGATTTTTGCCATGTTTTTCATGATAGGAAGGTCTAATGAGCTTCCTTTGAGCCCTGACTGGGGCACTCCTTGGAAACCAAAACCTTTAACTTTATAACTAGCATTTGTCTGTTTCAACTAACTTACTCTCAACAGAACATTATCATACTTATCACAAGTTTTTTTTTTTTTTTGGCAAGTAAAAACTTAAGTCACATAGAATGGTGATTCTCTCAAGAAAAGGTATCTTTTTTTCTTCTTCCCCCTGAAAATCTCTTCAAAGGAAAAATAAAGAAAGTTTTAATCTAAAAGTGAAATATGTAGCATGAAAATATATATCACCAATGTTTTACTCAGGCAATAGCATGAATGAAGTCTAATGAACATCATCTTTGCAAGAAGGTATTACTGTGATATGACTGTATTTTCATCCATTGACTTGATTTTTTTTTCCCAGTTTTGTACTGCAATATTTGCATCATTCCAGGTTACTTACTAGGATACTCATACTGTGAATGATCTCTGTAGAATATACAGAATTCCATAGGTTTAATCACAAGGTGTGCGTGTTGATGAATAACAGGACTCCCAAGAATAACTACTTGGATTGTGGTCATCTAAAATCTTTTTGTTAGTTTAAAGCATAAGTTTGCCCTGGTTTTCAGCAGGCAGTCTTTGTGTTCTACTTTTAATCACAGAATCAAACTCAAAGCTATTGAGTAATAAGGATATAATCTGATTTGAGCCCAGAAGACTAGGAATACTTTTAGCTGTTAATTTGTTGGTTTGGGGATTTTTTTTCTTTTACTCCAAAAGAACCTCCACCTTTTTATCTGCCCTTCTAAGAATATGAAAATGGAAATTATAAAAATTAGGCTGCAAAGAGTAAGTATATCAGTTTAATTTATGCTGAAATAATCCTGCTCATTTTCCTTGCTTGTGCATTTAGTGCAAAAAGGTTATGTGGAGTATGGACTGAAATATTTTTCTCTAACCTACAAAACTAGCTGTATGGAACCTGTCATGATATATGGAATGTGTTATCTCTCTAAGATAGGAAGTGGAAAAGCCTTCCTTACGATCAAAAAGATGCTGACTTGTATCCTAGCACATTGCTGTGCTGCAGATAACTAAAAGCTTAATTATCTGTTATTAATAGAAATAGTTCCTTTCATATAGATTTACTTTAAGTCTTTTTCAGGAGGTGAAGAGCATAAAACCAAGCCTGCCTTGATATAGGGGTGGATATTGATTTATTTGTACTGGAAAAAAAAAGCTTAGATATTTTAAGCTTGTCTTACTATATGAACTTCTCAACTTTTTTTTTTTTTTTTTTTTAATAATCACAGCAAGACCAGCTTTATACTTGGGCTGCAGTCAGCCAACCCACACATTCAACAGATTACATTGAAGGAAGCTTTCCAAGGAGAATTCCATCTGCGTGGCCCCCACCCAAACCTCCAGATGAAGAACAAAGACTCAAAGTTTCGGAAGAAGGTATAGTTCAGACAAGATGAATGTATAGCATAGGGGGAGATGCTGTCTTTTATAATCCAAGGTATAAGCTTAGTATGTTATCTACTAACAAACACCTGGCTTTGAAGATCTTGGATTAGCATCAGAACTAACGTTAGCTAGTATGAATCTAATAAAAAATAGTCTGCAAAAATGCATTCTCTTTGTTAACAATGATGTGTATCTGGCAACTGCTGACTTAGTGGCGTTTACCAGGTGTCGTGACCTTTGTTCTTTTCCAGTTTACATACCTTCAGAGCCATGAAATATGGGTTCTTCTCTTCTCTTCTCTTAAAAATATGGAAAACTTCAGAAACCCATTGGTGTATACTGCAAGTTATTAGAGTGCTGTAAGGTATTTCTTTGTAGATTAAGCAGTCCTGTGCTGACTGGGGTAGAAAAAGTGTATCTAGAAAAAATAAATTGAGGTCTTGATTACAAGGTCAGTTTAACTTAAAATTTGTGAGGTTATGCTACCAGCCAAATTTCTGCAATCTTCTTCATGCTTATTAAGAGCTTTGTTTAAGCTGAGAATTAAAACAAAACCAACCGAAAAAACCAACCCTCTCTTGTAGCTTGCAAAGAAATTTAGAAGAGAATTTCAAACCTGTTTTCTGTTAGTAGTGTTGATGCACAAATACCACAGGTTCTTGGAGGCTTTGCTTTCCATTAGTTAGTGTTTAGCAGCTCTCAACACTTCTGGACTGCATTCATCCTCATGCCCTCCATGGAGAGCCACTGGATATTCTCACATTTTCCATTTCTTACCACTCCTATTTTTCATTGCTCACCTTTGAGGAATTAAGTCATTATTTCAACAGATGTCTTTGTATTGCTTGTAGGCTTTGGGTGGAGTTAATTTCAGATTTGCTTCTCTATTTCCTCTGTGACTTTTACCTGTTGGAGATCAAGGAAACATTTCTTCATTTATCTCACTCATGCAATTCAGAGTGTGGAATGCTGCAGTACTAATCAAACGGTTCTTGAGCTATTCCAGTTTTTAAGTAATGATGCTGTACTCAATGGAAGTGCTGCCATATGTGGTAGTAGAATTCACTGCCGCTACTCTGAAAGTTGTGTTTCTCAACTTGGAGACTTAGCTAGTGGATGTGTGATCAGAGTATTTATGAACATACCCTGTACTGGAAAAGCAAAAGGGTGAATTTCTTTTTATTTTATTTTCAGGCTTTAGCTTGCCATAGGCTGGTGCAAGTTAAAAACACTTTTGTACTCTAAAATCTAGAAGAAATTTGAAATTGAAATGTAAAGATACACTTGGAAGTGCATTTCCACCAAAAGGATAATACTAATAATTTTTAAATGTATTCATATTATACATGCCTTGTTTCTATCCTATATTATTCTATTTAATACTATACCTACTACATGGATGTATTGTGTACAGGACTAACCTGTTCCTTATTTGAACACTTGCCTTCAAAATTACAAAACCATTAAGAAAATAGAATTGGAAACAAAGTGGCAAATTGTATGTTGCGGCTATTTCAAAAAGTAACATAAATAGTTCTTAAAATTTATTTATTGAAATTTTGGTGTGATTTTTCAGAGTAGGGTGTGGAGGAAAAATGAAAAAACTGTAATTCTGAATACAGCTGAGATAGATAAATAATTTAACTTTTCTTTGATTGTTCATCTGCTTGCCATTTGGAAGAACCTGGAAGTGAGTGATGTGCAACCTGAGGATAAACACTTCTCCCATTTTATGTATATGCACCATTGAAAGGTGTAGAGGATGAATGTTTTTTTAAAAGGTTTAAGTTATTGTGTGCAGGATAGCTGTATTTTGTATTATATATAATTATTGCTGTCTGGATTAAGCAGATAAAATATTAACATTAGAAACTATGATTTACAAAAAAAACGTGTTTTAGACAAAAATATTGATAGAGAAAGGAATGCGGCAGAATACTTTTATAGAGGGAATCTTTGTTTTTATTATGCACATTAACATGAGGACAACAGTAGGCCTTCAAGTTTTAAGTAAGGCAAGATGAAATCTTCCAAGGTCTTAGGTAGTCTTTCCAAAGTTAGCAAAGTAGTTAATCAACTGTTTAGTATAGTATGTATTAAATAGTTTTGCTGTATGCTGTGTACCATGTGGAGTGTTGATGGGTATGAAGAAAGGGCTATTAGGGTGGTGAGGAGTTTTTGAGGGGTTTTATCTCAGGTTGATTGTTGTTTGATTGGGCTTTTTCTTAATTTGTTTTAGTTTTTTGTTTTGGGGTTTCTTTTTAGGTTGGCTATTTATTTAAAAACTGAAGTTTGGAAATATCTAATGTGAATTTGGGTTCAAGTCAGCAGATGCTTATGCCAAAAACATTTTTCATTTCTGGATTTGGAGAAGGTTTTCCACAAAATGAGTCAACATCACCAATAAGATCAATGTGTATGCCACTACTTTTCTATCTGAATACTCAAAATCTGCTTTTGACACTGCTTATGGCATTTCAGTATACCATTCTCACATCTCAGCTTATTGCCTGAATCTAAACTCAACAAGGTATTTGAAATTCAATTCTTTTAATGCTTTGCTGTGGACAATATTCTACTTAACATATAGGAAAAGGCAAATAACCAGGCACTAGAGTCCAGTCATCCTGTCTCCCATATGACTGTTTTAACTACTTATGAAGAGACTCAAAGACTATGCAACTTCTGCAAAACAAAACAGTCCCAGGACAGTAAATCTCTCTGTGGGTTTACAACCTGAAATCTAAGTTAGTTAGTTTCTTTTTAAAAAAAAAGTAAACTCAAAAAAGTTATCAAAAAATAATGTTTGGTTTGGTTTAAAGGAAAGGTTTCATTTGTCATATAGAACTCTCTTTTCTTTATTTTCTTTTTTTTTTTTTTTTAAGTGTGGTGGTAGTGTTTGAGGTTTTTTATTTAATTTTGCTAAACAAAGCTAAAACCCTGTTAGTTTGTTGGGAATATATTGTATTTGCTAAATTTTGTCAAGCTAACCTTGAAGTTAACTGTTCATATCACCGTGACTTCACATCATATTAGGATCTCTTTTTAGAACAAAACTTGTGCGAGGTAAAAATAAGCTAGACAAATCTGTCATATTGTTAAATATGGACTAATAGATAGGAGCAGTCTGTTCATATTTTTTTTAAGTACTTTTGAGTAAGGGAGGTAGTTGAGCTAATTTGCATGATAGAAAACATTGTCGTGTGTAAATGTCTAGTACTAGAAAATAAGCGAAGAATAAACTGGTTGTGAGCAAAGATAATACCAACATGAAAATTTCTCTCAACCATACAGAAATCTAAAATCTAAATGATGAGTTATTTCCTGTAAATGGCAGCCTATCCAAATCCAGGTAAAAAAAAAAAAGTTTTGTTAATTTTCAAGAGATAGCCTTGCAGTATAATTGACATGAGCAATGAAACGTCTCCCTTGTATGTCTCACATCCCAACAGACAGGATTGTCAGAAAGCTGTGAGCAGGTCAAAATGTCTAGGAAATATGAATCACAGAATCTCAAAATATGCTGAGTTGGAAGGGACCCATCAGGATCATTAAGTCCAACTCCTGGCCTGGCACAGAACCATCCCCAGGAGTGACACCATGTGCCTGAGTATTATCCAAACGTTTCTTGAACTCTGTCAGGCTTGGTGCTGTGACCACTTTCCTGGGGAGCCTGTTCCAGTGCCCAACCACCCTCTGGGTGATGAACCTTTTTCTAATATCCAACCCAGACCTCCCCTGACACAACTTCAGACCATTCGCTGGGGTCCTGTCACTGGTCACCGCAGAGAAGAGATCAAAGCCTCCCCTCTTCCCCTCACGAGGAAGTTGTAAACTGCAATGAGACCTCCCCTCAGTCTCCTCTTCTAACCAGAGGTCCTGGATCACAACTGCTTCACTCTTTCTGGAAATGGACAGGATATTTCTCTGCTGAATCGTGGCACCTTTAAAGATATGAGAAGAATACAACACAGTGTATTCTCAGGGCAGGTGCAACAAAAATATTTCTATTCCTGTCACAAGTACAAAATAAGGCTATGATCAGTGAAGAGGCATCATGAGCAGTAGTTACTAAACTGGTTACTGATCTTTGCATTGTGCAGCTGCTGTGGAGTTGTTTGTTTATTTGTTTCTTCTCATTATTTCCTATCAGACAAGGAAACTGAGGCACAGTGATGTTCTTTAAGGTCAGAAAAGTACTCTGATTTTAAAACAAGAAATGGAATCTAGTCGTGGGGTTTCTTATGTTTTTCTGCCCTTTTTGAGATCTGTATCACTATCTACGTCATTGTGGCAATTTCAAATTTGTGGTAGGACAGAAGAGGGCCAGTGGAGGATATGAAAAAGACAACATAGCTGGCAACAGTCATTAGTTTTAAGGACAGAAATATTTCTTATTGAGATTAGATGAGAGGAACAAGCATAAGAACCTTCCCATGACCTCCTGTGGAATGTGTACAATAGAGTTATAAGTAAATATTTTTCTTTGAATCAGAAATTTGTCAATCAAAATAGACTTCTTTCAAGTTTAAGATGGTAGCATTTAACATTGTGTCATAAAACATACATTGTAAATTGAGTTTAGGCTGGCTTTATTTATACATATAACCTGTTATATTGATTTTAATTTGGAAATTGGGACAGTTAACATTGTTTTCTTTTTAACTCTACCCTCCTTTCATGAATTTTTTAATGTGTCTTTTGAGAGATCAGTGAATTTTTTAAATATAGAAGTTTAAAATCTGTATCTTCTTTTCAAATTCAGAGCTGAAATCTACAGTCCTAGAAACAGAGAAGCAATGCACAGATGATGTTCAGCAGGTACAGGTAAGATTCTAACAGAGATATTATATCTGTTATTTTTTTAAAACGAGTGCAAAAGCAGTACTTCTTTCAGAAACTTTTGAAATAGTTTTGTACACTGAACGTTCTGAATGAAAACATGGGGTTTTTTATATGCTTCATGGTGTACTTAGGTACAGAGATTGAAGGTTCCTGCCTGCCTAAGGTGATTCTTACAAAATTTTATTGTTCACTCAGAAGTTAATACTATGTCTGATGGTATTACTAACCAATAGTAACAGAAGATCTGGTTATATTTGCTAATCTCCAATAATTCATGTAAGTATTAATGTCAGAGTTTTTGCTGTTGTTGTTGTTGTTTGGTTGGTTCTGTTTTTGTTTCGGTTTTGGTTTTTCCTGACTATCCTCTGCATCTAGGTGGTAGTAAGGGAATAGGTTTAGGGTGCCATGCTAGACTTAAACAAGTGATGATATAATTCTGGGACAGTCTGGGTTGGACTTGTGCACATAAACACTTTTTAGTGTGTCACCATACATGTTCTATTCCTCATTGAAGGTGGTGCAATTTGATGGGGTTGAGAAACTTCAAATTTTGTTTCCTCAAAAAACTAGCTACCAGATTTATCTTAGCAGGTAATAAGACCATTCCATTGTTTTGGAAGTTATTAGAAGGAAGGCAAAGTTCTGGTTTTCTGAAATAGTTGGAAAACAAGACTCTGAAAAACAAGGAGTGACCAAAAGCTCTTGAAATTTCTTGTTTGCCTTCCCTTGTTTCCCCCCTTCCTTATTTCCTCTCCTGGGTTTGTTTTTCTGTGTGGTATGTTTGGTTTTTTGGTGGGTTTTGTTTTGTTTTTGTGTTTTTGTTTTTGAAAGTGATAAGATGGTTCAAGCATCACTGCATTGAGCAGCATTTGCAAAAATGATCAGTAATTTTTTTGGGGGGGAGAAAATAAGAAATGCCTAGGTAAATGCGTACTACTAATCATTAGACTTGCAAATTAAATTACAGCTTTTATGAGCCATGTGTGGGGAGAGTAGGTGTGGTAACTTTATGGCTTCTATCTTGCCAAACAACATTAAAGTAGGTCTTCTAGTTGGTTACTTAATTCTTCTGCCTCCACAGTAAGGAATATTTTTAAACTAGAGCCCATTAATTAAAATAATATTATGAAGTTATCTTACATCACAGTATTTTAAGTTCAACCTAAAGTATGTCTGTCCCATGCTATTTTCATATTTGTTATCCAGGTTTCACTAGCAATGGTTTCTAGCATTTACTTTGAAAAAGTACTTTTTCCTGTAATTCCAGAAAGTTATTGTACTTAAGGAACATATCTAATCTGTCTCTACGATTTTAATTCATTGCAAGACACAACCTACATGAAAGGTTTTCTTTTTTGGAAATATAATTAATTGAAATATGTATACAAATGCGTAGGTATTTTACTAAAAAAAAAAAAAAAAAAAGAGATTTACTACAAGAATTAAGTTAAACCAGCAGCACTAGAGCACTGTGTGATCACTTAAACAAATAACATTTACTTCAGGTTGGGAGCTTTTTGCTACTTTTTAAAACTAGCCTATTACAATTATGATTTATATTTGCTTGTGTTGTTAGAGATTCCCATTTCTCTTGCTCAGTGTTTATCTCTTATGACAGTAATTCTTCCATTCTATACCATTATTCATTAATAAAGTGGAGAACTAACAGGACCACCCCGCTTGCAGAAAGTCCTCTCAAATTTTTGCTGTTATTTTGTCACCTTTCTGTTTCATTTTGAAAATCAGAATGGAAGTCTTTAATTTGAAGAACTATATGTGGATAAAATGTTGTCATATGTTCAATTTATTTTCTGTACAGTCTCAGGCAGTTGAATGTACTCTATCTATCAATGTCTAACTGTATCAATCTATAAAAATATTAGAAAGTAGAACGACCATCATATTTGTAGGTAAATCCTTTACTGCAATTAGACAATTCTTGGTGTTATTTTTGCACTTCTAAAGTGATAAAATACTATGACGTTTCTATTAGAGATATATCCTCTTTTATTATTTGTCTAGCTAGTTTTTCTTTCTGAAAAAAAACCAAACAAGCAGTGCATGAAGTTACCCCAGTAGGTAACTTCTCTTTTTCTTTCGATACTTAAAAAAGAAGAGAACTCTAGTGTAAAATTAGAAATGGATCAGCCAAGTCTTCTTTCCTCTACTTCTTTTCTCTCCAGGGAAAAGACACTTTCCACATGCTATTAAAATAATTGAAGATGGTTGATATAGAAATGAACACAACTGTAATGTGATGCTGGAAAATTATCTCACTTATGATAAGTAGTTAACTAAAGGATTCAGAATAATTCTAAATTAAAAGCATAAGTAACACAGAGAGCCTGGATTTTAGACTTTCTTGCCATTGGAAAGGGCATTTTTCCATATTTCCTCTCCATTTCCGTATCTTTACCATGTAAGATATAATCTTCATATTTTGCAGTATAATATTCTAAAGTTTAAGGCTGCCTTTTTGAGTTGAAAAGACCTAATTTCAAAAAATTACTACTGAAAGAAATGAGGACCTGGGGTTATGCTTTCTTTTAGTACAGGAATTGTTAAGCAGAGCCAAAATAAGAAAAATTGGCAGCCATTTCAAGTCCTGGTTTTGAAATGCCAAAGGGCAGATGTCTGCTTAGTCTTCCCAGTGCAAACAGAGAAAGTTTTCTTAGGCTCAACTCTTTTAGTGAAGGAAGAAGAGAGAAATTGAATGTCGTAATTTAGAAACTCCAGTTTCAAACCTGACCTTTAGACCTGTACGCCATACAAGAGTGAACTTCCGTTTTGCTTTGTGCCCCGATCTTTTGTGCTACCATATCAATTTTCTTTATATTGTAACTCACTTGCCAGATTAACTTGATTTTGTTTACCTGGTAGGAAAAAAAAAAAAAAAAAAAAAAGGTAAAAAGAAGGGAGGGAAAAAATCTTTTAATTGTAAAATAAGTACATGAAAACTAGGCTTTGATTAGTAGTGGGACATTATAGGACTAGCAGCCTAAAGCTGTTTGAAAGGCACCTAAATTCCTTATTGTGTTATACATCTTATTATAAAATTATTTGAAAATTCTATTTTTAATAATATGTGATGATTTTCTATTAATTTAAGAAGAAAGTCCTCATTACATTTGTGTAAAAGTTAGCATCCAGATGTAATGAATCCTTCTTTATGCCACTGATGGTGCATGGTCCCTGTAATCCCGTCTCAGGAGATGGGATTTTGCCAGACTGTTCCAGTTGCTAGTAGTTTGGTTATATTTTAAATGGAGTATTTAAACTATATTTACATCAGAAAAGCTTGCCATCAAAAAAATTCTTATGCTTCTAATGTTTCCGTCTCGGTTGTTCACTTTGGTTTGGCTCACCACATTTGAGCCAACAAATAAATCTCAACCAAAATTATATGTATTTTTGAACAACACGAACTTCCACTGGTACTGTTAGCCAGACAAAATTTTGGCAGTTCTCAGGTGCTGAAGACAGATTTCTACTGTATGATTTATTAGTGTGCTTTCCAACAATATCATAGGGAAACAATGCTAGTCTTAAAAAACTTAAATTACAGGCCAGGTTTTGCCACGGTGAGGATACTTCCTGCTTTATAAAAACATAAGTCTGACTCTTGGAGTGTCTCTTTAGAGTATTCCTAACTACCACACTTTACTGGTAACTCCTCTCTCAATCTTTCAGCAGGGACCTTTTTACTTTAGTCATTAACTAAGAATTATTGTAACTCCTTAGGGTAATAGCTCGGTGACATTTGAAATGTTCCAATTTTGACACTTAGTAATGCAAGAAAAAAGGTTTTGAAATCCTTTTGAAATATAATATAATCAGTCTATTTAGAAAGTATAAAGCATCGATGGGATTGGGATTTACTTTTCATTATTATAAAATGTCATCGCTAGAATTTTTTCTCAGAAACATGCATGCTGCTCAAAACTCTCTCTTAAATGAAATTTCAGAAATTATTCTTTACAGGTGAAACTAAGATAAGAAAGGTAGATAAAGGATTTGACTGAAATGGTGAAATACAAAAAAGAATAAAATAAAAAAGGGAGATTTTATAAACCTGTTTTTAGACTACCAGATCTGGAGTCTGGTATGACACCTGTTTTTTTTAGATATTACATGATGTTCATCAGGGTAGAGGCCAAGTGTAGATGAGACTAGTGAACAGTTTTGTTCGACAGGAGTTTGAGAAAAAGTGGGAATTCTTCCTTTATGAACTCCCAAACTGTTTTATGGTTGTGGCTCTTCTTCCACTGCTTGATTTTATATGTTCTTTCTTGAGATATTTATTCAAAAAGTACCTGGGAACAATTGTCACTCTTCTTCCATGTCTCTGCTATTTGAAAGGTTACTTTTTATAAGAGGAAAGAGAAGCCTTGAGGAAGCAATGAACTGTTACTCTAAAACAATTCTTTTCCTACAAAAATATGACCGCCGAAGTCTTAGATTTCAACAGGGAAAAAAGTCATATATGTGGGGGGGAAAAAAAAAAAGCCAACCAACAAAAATGTATGACCTATTCGCAAGGGCCTACTATATACAGTTGCCTCACTGAGGAAAGAAAGGATTATAAAAGAAGTAAATGTTTTTGGAAGTTTACATATGAATCACGATAGTGATGAAAACTGGATATCTTCTTTTAAGGAGAACTGTATCAGTGTAAACTTTCTGCAACATCTTGCCAGCATACCCAAATTTCAGAAAACAAAAACTTTAAAAATGCATATGTGTAAATCTATCTTTTCATCTTGCAAAAAATAAACACAGACTTGCAATATGTGGTGTAGAAGAACTTATGTTCTAATTGTTGGTCCAGTGTGTAACATTAGAATTGGGATATCTTAGCTTTAAGCAGATGAATATCAAGAAGCGTATCTAGTGTTTTCTTGTTAGCCTTGAGAGTAAATGCATTTTACCAGTAATGTACAGAAAGGAAACAAAGTTTGTGTGAAGCAAAAGGTGAT